TCATGGGAAGGAAGAGCTCCATGTCAAAGTTAACTTCCGCTGAAAGTCATTTTACTCGTCATCGTTGTTGTCGTCATCGTCTTCATCATCATTGTCGTTATCATCATCATCATCAACATCACCAGCATCATTATTATTATCATTGTCATTATCATTACCGTTATTGTTTTCATAACTTTTTCTTTTATTACCATTGCACAGGTATCTGTAGAAAATGCATAGAGAGTTTTGAAAGCAAGTCACTGAGATTGATGAACTAACGCATGCAATCAAGGATCTAAAGATGGTGAGCAATCTAATCGATAGGTTCAATAGAATTGCACCGCCTTTTTTCAACGCAATAACACTCTCTGAAGAAGTAAATAAAGTTAAAATAAAATTTATATTTGTTGTTGTAAGTAATGTAGGAGGGCTTAATTAAGCAAGAGCACTGACGAGCCTGCTGCAGTGCAAAAAAATTCCGTAAATAGAGTGCCAAGCCATAGAGCCGCTACTCAAACTTGTGCTTTGAATGTATCCCCAGGCCAACAGTAGTGACATACCAACGAATCCTACGGTTACTCCAGAAAAACATGAACCTCCTGCATTGGCTACCAAAACAACGGAGAACCTTTACCACCCGTCTGAGAGCTCAGAAGATTTTGAAAGCGCAAAAGAGGTAAAAGGTACTTGTAGTAGTTCTGAAATACCATCGGGACTGACCGCGGAAACACCTGGGAGCTTTCACCACCCATATGAGAGCTCCGAAGATTCCGATGGCGCAAAAGAGGCAAAAGGTAGTTCTAGAAAAGTCAGCCCTGTACGTCATCAGTTGCTAACATCATGGGATTCAATAGCCCGCAGAACACAACGCTACCACGTTTGTAAAGCAAGACAAGTTGTGATAGCAGCCCTAGAAGAAATTGCACCTGGGAACGCTGAAATCCTCTTAAATAAACTAGTGATCAAATGACGTCGTACAGACAGAGGACGAAGTTAACTTAACGCTTGTTGACGCCTTAACAGAATGCTACAAGAATGCGAGCCACTGGAGCACACGAAGGCAAATCCTATCCATTATTGCTGACAAAGTTAGCTATCGAACGTTACAGAGTTGGATTCCTGGTCTAACACGATATAGATATAATGTCGCCAGGCAACACGCTCACATGTATCGAGGAGGTGCTGAAGTTGAAACTCGTAGTGTACGGAGAATATATGTCTCAGCCTCACAGCTCGACTACTTCCTTGACTTCACAAGTGAACACATTATCCAAGAACTTCCATTTGGTGAACGGACATTGAAATTATCATCCGAAAAGAAAATAACAGTAACCAATGTGGTAAGAAAGGTAATCCCAGTGCGAGTTATTCAGCAGTATAACCTGTTTTGCACCGAGACGGGTTTTACTCCGATGGGACGCAGCACCCTTCATAACATTCTAGATGTGAGCTCTGCTGGTGTAAGGAACTCATTACAGGGACTCGATTACTTTACAGCGCAAGGCATACAGGCTTTTGATGATTTAGAGAGTGTTGTCGATAAGCTCGGAGAAGACTGTGAGATGGGCTCATCCTGGGTGAACGAAAAGAAGGAACAGCTGAAGGAAGGGAAGAGATATCTGAAGAGTGATTACAAGGTACCATCGTTATCCCTATTATCATCATTATTATCATTATTACTATTATTACGATCATAACACTAAAAATAATCGAGAGTGCTTCATCAGTTCTTATCACAATACAGAGTTATGAATTATTAATAAAGACATGCAGATAGCCAGGGACCATAGTCATTATCATACGTTCCAATTCGAGATTTTTGTTTTCAATTAATAGGTACACATTTCAACGAGCTCAAGTGTACCAGAAATTGTCGAGCCTACGCGCTAAGTTGTCCAGACGACACAGACTACCTTGAAATTTGCCATCACAACCACAACCACACATGCGACCGATGTTCTCGTCTTACATCTGTTGTTGCTGAAATCGAGAAAGCTGTACAGGAAGTGGGAGGCACAACCGATACGAAAGGAGATTTGGCCTTTGTGACTTTATAGTCCAAACAATGCATAAATTCTTGGAAATTGCACTTACTGCGTTCAACAAACCAGGACGAGTCCAGATTAGACGTCATCGATGAGCTGGATGAAACTTCTGTCTTACTGGTCTTAGACTGGGCTATGAAATATCTAACAAAGAAATTCAGGGAGAGCCAAACAGACTGGTTTGTTAAGAGAGGTCTGCCATGGCATATCACGGTTGCGACGAGAAAGGGAAATGATGGCAAGATTGAGATGATGACATTTGTACACTTATTTGAGACCTGTAACCAGGACATGCAGCTCTGCAGTTCTTGCCATACTTAACGACGTCTTTCGTCGACTGAAGGATGTCATGCCTCATTTACAATCTATTTATCTTAGACAAGACGACGCCGGGTATTACCACTGCGCTTTAACCCTGGTTACAGCCAGCAAAGTAGCAGAGCTAAACAATCTCCTCCTACGCAGAATGGATT